ACATCAGCATTGGATGAAAGGTGTTGTGTGACAGATGCTATTCTCTTGCTAAATTTTTGGTTTAAAATCCTATGTGTTTTTCTGCTCCCACATCACCATTTCTTGATGTCGGATGAGATGCAAAATACACTGTGCTGCAACATTAGAAGAGAAGCTTCTCAGTACTAGTTTCTTTTATTAAAAAATTATCTCTTAGCCTTGGCTTGTGCACCTGTAATTTTAATTTCAATCAGAGCTTTCAGGATATAATTCATTTTAAACTACAGCTCCCAGAATCTCTCAGTCAAAATGACTACCGTGTTTTCTGGAGAGTTTGAGAGTCATAGTCTATAACAAAACAAAACAAAAATTAAATTTTCTCATGCTTGGCTTTGAAAGCACCCAAAGAGCAGGCATTTGAATTTCTTCACAACTCCCAAAGCTTGCCAGGGTTACCTTTGCACAGGTTCTGGAGTAGTCTTTAGGTGGCTGACAAACCTTCCCCCCCCCCCAACAAGCTTCAGGCTTTAAAGATAAACAGTTGTGAAATTAGAATACATGTGTAATTGAAACAGGTAGAAGAGAGAAGCCTGTTAGAGATACATTTCTCTCTCCACCTGCCAACTTTGGGCTTGTGGCTTTCTGGGCATCTTTTGAAGTGGTTCTTTTTACCTGTTAGACAAGAGCCTCATCTGAACTCCATTTCAAAGCATGGGAAGACCAGAAACCATTAGCTTCCGTCTCAAGATCTTCCATCGAGTTTTTAAGGTGTATTCTACCTTACCAGCTTTGATAACTGGGTTTGTAGTCCTGAAGTAAGAGCTCACAGGGTTTTGGGGCCAGCCAAAATGTAGGGTCACAAGAAGCTGATGTCTACACAGAGGTAAGTCACTGGTCCTTCCAACTGAGTATTGTCTACACTCAAATCTACACAAATGTCTACACAAAGGTGACCTTTTGTAATAAGTCCTAGATTCCCCTAGATAGTAGAAGATTCTGGAAAATGCAGAACTTTCCCAATTGTTAGCAATTACTTGGAATGAGTACTGAAGAAAGTTGAAGAAAGTGCAAAGGGAAGTTGACAGTTGAGACATTAAGACTGAACATTAAAAAAAAATGGCCACAGATCATTTACATATGACCACAGATGATTTCATAACTTCATAGCAGATGATGAAAACATTGAAATAGATCAAGTTTATACATACCCTGGCTCAGTCATTAATCAAAATGGAGACGGCAGTCAAGAAATCAGAAGACTAGGACTTGGAAGGACATGGAACTAAACAAGATCCTGAAGTGTAAAGATGTATCATTGAATACTAAAGTTGGGATTGTCCATGCCACCTAATTTTCCTATTTCTATGTATGGTTGTGAAGGCTGGACAGTGAAAAAAGCTGATAGGAAGAATCCATTCATTTGAAATGTACTGTTGGAAAAGAGTCCTATGGGCACAGTGAACTGCTAAAAAGACAAATCAGTGGGTTCTAGAGCAAATCAAGCCAAAACTCACTCTAGAAGCCAAGATACCCAAACCTAGACTGTCATGCTTTGGATATATCATGAGAAGGCATGACTCACTAGAAAAGACAATAATGCTTGGTAAGATAGAAGGCAGTAGGACAAGAGGAGTGGATAGATTCAAAGAAGCCATGGCTCTGAGTGTCTAAGACCTAAGCACAGCTGTTGACGATAGGGTGAATTTGGAGGTCTCTCATACATAGGGTTGCCATGTTGAAGTTGACTAGACAGTAGTTAACAGCAATGACAAAGTTCCAGCACATTTTAGTTGCTAGTCTGGTTGGCTTCTGAATATGTGGAACAAAGAGGGGAAATTTTGGCCTTCACCTCAAGCAGTAAATTGTCTCAGTCTACTCCCCAAAGGACTGAGAAACTATTGAATGCCAGCCACCATCAGCCCCAGGCAAGATGGCTAGTGAATGGATGATGGGGCTGTAGTATGAAACATCTGGAAAGAGCCATTTTTCACCACTTGTCTCCAAGGGTAGCTGCTCCTCTAAAGTGGGCAAAGTGTGGTTCTAAGGTTTCATGTGGGCCCTGACACTTTAAGTAGGGATTAGACTAATTCCTAGAGAACAGTTTTATTCATGGCTGCTGGTCCATATTCAAGGCATCTTTGCAAGCACTTCTCCTTCAACATGCTCTCCACCCCATCCCACCCAGTCTTTTACAGCTGTGAGCACCATGAGGAGAAGGATGGAATTCAGTGACAATTTTGGTCAAGAGGTCCCCTTCTCCCAAAATCTGGTTGATTCTGGACAAGGATGAATTCCTGTCAGAGTGCCAGAGGCTCAGCAGCAAGGCTATACAGCGATGGTTACAGATGGTTCTGCACCAGACTCCTCATAATAGTAATGGCTGGTGCCAGATCTCTTTTTCTGAGTCTTTCCATTTATTAGGCTGCTGTAGTGTAGCAAGTCCATTGCCTTCATGTCCCGCTTGTGGACAGCTTTGCTTTGAAGAGGGCTGTGTTTGCATATGAGTGAATGGTTGACTTTTCAAGGTGCGTGCCTTAGCAAAAAGCTTAATTTACAGCCTCAGAAGGTGGGAAAGTTTGTGTGTGTGTGTGTGTGTGTGTGTTTGTTTGTTTGTTTGCTTTCTCTTCTTGGCTCACCTCTTAATGATGGAAGTCTTGATGCATCCCCTGAGGAAAATGGCTCAGCAGCAATATTTTGTGAAAAGGCTCCATGCGTGCTGATGCTAACTCGCCTATGTTCCATTATAAAAGCCTTGGGTGCTTCTACGACCATTGTGATGTCTTGTCTACTCCAATTGCAGTCACATAAACACTTTGCTTCCCTCCATCTCCCTCTCCCTACCCGATTGTCAGTGTCTCCCAGCTGATGCTGGAAGTGTTCCAGAAAGGGAGAAAAGGCAAACACATGATCCTTTTGATGGGAGGCTTGTGTTCTTACCACTTGACACACAGATGAATCAACTGGATTCAAGACAAAGATCAAGCATGCAAACTTCAAACAAGAGAATGCCAAGTGACATCGCCACATCTTTGATGCCCAAGGCATGAGAGCTTGTTGGGGCAGTGTCAGAGTAATTTTTTTATCAGTTATTCTTTTTTAAAAAAATAAAAATCCCAAGGAGTAAAAGCTCTAACTGGAGCTAGCTTGTTCTTTTAAACAAGAATGGTGGCAGCTGGTGCAAGCCTGGCAGTTGGGGCTGGTTTTCCCTTGGCATCTTGGCCTTGCAGTCCTAATACATGAGGGATCTGCAATCCACCTGCACATGCATTTGGAGAGGGAGATCTGTCAAAGATAATAATAAAATTTATTTATACCCCACCCCTCTGCTGAGCAATCCCAGGGGATTCCCAGGGGAAGGGGCTCTTCTTGGACATCCCAGATAAATAGCTTTGGGCTCTTCCTTAAATGACATGACAAGACTTCTAAGGGATCCAGTGTTACTGGTCTTCAATAAGGCTGGATTCCCCATCTGGCTTGTGGCAGTGTTTACTGATCAGTGGTAAGAGGTTATTTCAAGCCCAGGACTTGAGCTTTGCTCTGCAGCTGAGAAGCTGATACAAAACCCTCAGCTTTGCTGTGCAAACATGAACTCTAATCTGCCGACTGGGAAGCTGTTGCACTGAGCCTTCCTTCCTTGCCTAGCATGCTTACAATGGAGCTGTGCCTTCTATGTTTGGTTGGAAAATGTCCCAAACGATGAGAGCTACACTGAGTTGTGCCCATTTTGCTTTGGTCCTGCCCCATATTATTAGCCCTACGCACCTCTGCGATGCATCCTGGGAGACAACTACCACTTTCACCTAAACATTAGGAAGAATATCCTACCAGTAAGAGCTGTTTGACAGTGGAACATGCTGCTTTGGAGAGTGGTGGTGCCTCCTCCTCTGGAGGTTTTTCAACAGAGTCTGGATGGCCATTTGTCATAGGGAGGGCTTTCTGCATGGCAGAAGAGGGTTGGACTGGATATATGATTCTGTGTGGATTTGCCACCTGAACTGTGGTCTAAAAGATGATGGATCCTTAAACATATGTGAATTTTCTTAAGAGTGTTACTATTAATGCTTAAGATGGCTCATTCATTCATTCATAGTATATTTAAGAGAATGTTTTGCTCGTCTTGCATTTTTTAAAACTTGTTTTTATGGCCTGGAAAGGATAGAATTTTGCTCTCCTCACCTCTCCTTTCCATTTTCTGCCATATACCAGTTTTCTCTTGAAAAATGCAGTTGTTCCCCATCTCTGCTTTTAGCTCCTATAGGTATATATCATGTTGGGTGCAGACACACTCCTGAATCTCCAGGGCTGACCTCAGCAGCATTTACTTTACAGGGTAATTTTATTTTATGCTCTGCCTAGTGTTTAGTAAGTCTTCAAGATTTGCAGAACATTTTATGCATGCCTAGATGGAATGAGCTGAGCTGGACTTACTTCTGAGTAAATAATGCATACAACTGACTGCATAGGATTGTGGTCTAAAACAATGGCTTGTAAAACCCTAGGCCCTAATGCGAGGAAAATATTACCTACTCATAAATAGTTTCAAAATATGTCACAAGAAGCAACAAAGAATAAAATGGAATTACTGCTACATTGCACCTTGGACAACATAAAGACAGAAAGGATACAGAGGTGATGAAAAACAAACCCAACCTTTCCTATTCTTCTAACAAAATATTTTGAAATTCTCACTGGTTAGTACTTGGATGGGGGAATGTCTATGAATACCAGATGCTGTAGGTTACATTTCAGATGAAGGAACTGGAAAATCCATCTCTGAGTATTCCTTGCCTAAGAAAACCCAATGAAATTCATGGGGTTGCCATATATCACCAGCACACACAAACACACAACTTCTTTTCTAGGGTTGCCAAGTCAGGACTATCCTAGGCTCTGAGATTTCAGAGTCAAAACCTAGAGGCAACCCCTTGCAATGTCAAATCAAGCAGGTTTTGGTGATATTATTAAGCATGATCTATTACGCATCAGTTACTATTTCACAAAGTATTCCATTGAAATAATAAGTTTGTGGTGTAGTGGTTTGAGTGTCAGACTGCGACTGGGGAGACCCAGGTTCGATTCCTGGCTTGGCCACGAAACCCACTGGGTAACCTCAGGCACGTCACATGCTCTCAGCTTCAGGGGAAGGCAGTGGCAAATCTCCTCTGAACCAAACTTTCCAAGAAAGCCCCATGATAGCATCGCCTTGGGGTCGCCATAAGTGAGAAATGACTTTAAGGCAAGCAACAACAACAACATGAGGAAATTATATAGCACACAATTCCTGGGCTGACATTTTCCCTCCATGCCCTGAGGATTGGAGAACAGGGGCCAGACCCTGAGAGTGAGGAATACTACTTCTTTCTGCTCCCCAGGAGGGTGGAAGGTGTGTGCATATGGCACTATGTCCGAAAACAGCACATGGGACTGGAATGGAGTTGCTACCCATGCATAGATTGTATGGGTAACAGAAGTACTGAATGGGCCTTTGCAGATTAGATACCCAATATCCTAGGGGCCTGATGGAACTGGCACCTGCCCTCTCTTCTTCATGCCAGGCAACTTGATCTCCTGGCTGCCATTTTAAATTTCCTATGATAACCAAAGTAGTGCTGGCCATAGGGACTTCTCTTTAGGGCTCAAAGCATGGTGACAAGGAAGAGGAACTTTTCAGTTGTGGTCCCCTGGGGACCATCTATTCTCTTCTTCCAGTATCTTGTGTCACCTTACAGTTGTTTTATTGTGGTAGAATATTTTGTGGACTGGATGCATGAAGTGTATGTCCTCATTTCACAGAGGAGTATAGAAGAGGAGTTGAGGGAGAATACAAATAATGATGCTGGTGAATCTATCTTCCCACAGGTGCAAAAGTTTATGTTTCCATTCCTGCCCCATGTTCAGAAGCCAACCAGGTAGTAGGCATGGAAAATAAATTCATTGGGTTTACATCTCCCAATGAAAATACCCTTTTTGTACTTTTTGAGACTGGCAAGAGAATGAAGCCCATCTTGCCCCAGGAACCTGCATATGCTGGTGCTTGCCATGTATTTGGAGAAAAATAATGCATGCAGTTTGAGAAATGCACATGATTAAAAATGTAGATATTTTGAAGTGTAGCTATTTTTAAAATGTGCATGAATGTGCCCTTTTGGCCAATGGGAAAATGCATAAATATACATACATTAGTGAAAATGGACAATTTAGAATGTGCCTAAAGGCATGCGTTAATTTTTGCAAGGGAAAGAAAAAAGGTTTCATGCAGTCCAATACAAAACCCGACACAGGTGTGACAGGAATGCTAGTGGGATTCTGAGAAAAGCCAGAAAGGAGACTGGCAGATTTTTGCATCCTTACTGGGCTGCCAACCATGATTTTTTTCCTTGTGACAGCAGAGGATTCTTGGAAGAGACAGTGTGCTTATTGTGATTTCTATGCAATGGCCACTTTGTGGATGGGAAAGTGATTTTGGAATAGGCTGCAAAGGGTCCTGAGCTTGCCCATCCCTGTTCTGGTTTTATAACCAAACTCTGAGTGCTTGGCTGCGCATCAGAATGGTTACAGTTTGCCTTTCTGCAGAAGGTGGGCCTTGCATTGCTCAGTAGCCGAAATGCTTCAGGAGAGCAATTCCAAACTTCATATCGCACACTCGACGGAGCAGGGATTCTTTTGAAGTTCTTTCAACCCTGCACCCATCTTGTCCCAAAACGGCTTTCATCCTTCGCCAGTGCTTCCACAGCAAAAGCTATTAAAGGGAAACACTTTATGCTTTCTTGATGTGTTTTTCTTCCTTTGCTGTTAACATCTCCTGTGGTAATGATTTCATAATGCGACCGAGTCACTGCAATATGTGAGCAAAAAGTCCTCAGTCAGGGCAAGCCTGGACTGGTTGGAGGGAAGGCTGGAGTTGAGTGTACATGGGAAGATACACTGTGGAAGGCAGAAGTTCTACAGGTACAGCCTTTCCCCAGCTTTATTATTGATGGGGTGGCACTGGAACTAAATTAAAAGCTGACCTGTTCAGAGTTTTTTTTAAAGGACAGAATGTGGAAACCTTGTCTCAGGTTAAATATCCATATGCAAAGAGATTTTGTACCACCTTTGAGATTAACTGTGGCAAAGAAGTAGCATAAGCTTTTGTAGACTTGGCAGAATAGGGCACTACACTCTTATAGTGCTGCTATTCCACTTTTACTGTTCTGGCTGCCTCTTGTGGAATCCTGGGATTTGCAGTTTAGGGAAAGGCATTTAGGATTCTCAGCCAGAGAGCTCTTAGGCCTCAGCATGGAGATGGGTTTTTTCTGCAGCCTGTCTATGGGAAGCAGGAGTATGTCCCAGTACAGCAGTTTTCAAGTATGTAAAGCACAACCCAGTCCTATGCACATTTGCTCATAAGCAAGCCTTAGTGCAACAGTTGCTCAAGCTGCAAAGTTCCATGCAACAATTTCCCAGGCTGCAAACCAGAGCTCAGGTCCATGCAACACTTTCCCAGATGGCAAATCAGAGTTCAGGTCCATCCAATACCCTCCCAGGCTGCAAAGCAGCACTCATTTTCTTGCAACACATTCCCAGGCTACAAAGCAGAGTTTAGGTGCATGCAATACCCTTCTAGGCTGCAAACTAGCACTTGGGTCCATGCAACACCTTCCCAGGTGGCAAACCAGAACTCAAGTCCATGCCATACCGCCCCCCAGGCTGTAAACCAGAGCTTAGATCTTCTGGTGGTGAGGGAAGCAAGGGCAATAGGAAATCAAACAGCATTGCATTTTAACAGCCACGTGGAAATTTAGAGAATTAAAGGGCTTAAAAAGAAAAACAGGTTATAGAAACACTCAATAATGCCACTTACTTCCTGGAGCCAGGGTGGGTCCAAGTTGACCATGCTATATTCTTGTCAACAGGTTGCTGGCAAATTCCCAGAGCCAACTGAGCTGAGCCTGGCAAACAGGTTGAAGTTATCATGCTGTAAGATGAATCATTTGTACAACATCTTAGGAACATAATTCTCATTAGTCCTCACCCAACACAAAAACTCCAAACTCTCTGAGTAGGTTCTTAATGGACCCATTTGACAGATGAGAACACTGGGGACCTGGTCTCATGACCACATTGGTGGCCACATGAAAATGCTGGCTGGCCACAAAGCAGAGATATGGGCTGATTGGGTAAAGCTCATGAGCCACTACAAATCACTTCTAATGACAGTAGACTAGAAACAGAATTAGTTTATGCTATGGAACACAGTCTTCCTCAACCTGGTTCTTGCCATAGGTGTTGGGACTACAATTGCCATTATTCTCTACCAGCATAGCCATAGTCTTGGAGAGCAAGTTGGAGAAAGCAGATGTAAGGCCATGTATAATTGACTCATTACTATTGGTATGCTATGACCTCCTCTGTCTTGCTAGGATCCCTGCTTTCATTTTGGTCTGCACTGCAGAAATAATGCATTTGACACTGCTTCAATTGCCATGGCTCAATGCTATGGAATCCTGTGATTTGTAGTTTGTTGTGACACCAGAGCTCTCTGATAGAGAAGGCTAAATACCTCACAAAAGTACAAATCCCAGCATTGTGCTATGGCAGTTAAAGTGTCAAACTGCATTATTTCTTCAGTGCAGATTAGACCTTTGACTAATGAGGGAGAGACATTCAGAATTAGGACCATGGGTTGTGGAAAGGAGGGTTGAACCCAAGATTGGAAGATTCAAATGATGGACTGCACCTCCTATAATTCCTCACTATTGTCTATGCTTGCTAGACCTGATGGGAGTTACAGTCCACCAATACCTGGAAAATTACAAGTTAACACTTTCTTAGCATGTTGATGGTCCCAGTGAAAATCACCATCCAAGAGCTGCTATTTTTTCCTGGTGTAAACAGCAGCTCTGAAGGATGGGAAGCATGGTGGTAAGGAAAAGTGTTAAACCCCTGTCCTACATGCCACAGTCCCAATCCTGATTCCCCTCCAGCTATTATTTAGAAAAGCCACAACTAGATGCCCTAAATTTTTACACTCCTTTTAAATGTTTGGCCCTCTGCGGCTTGGTCTTGGATAGCTTCTTTTTCCCTGTGTTGCTTATTCCTGATAACTTTGGTTCTGCCTTGGCTGCCAAGCTTGAGGCTTTCATGGTACTTGCCAGAGAGCTCCAAAAGTTCTCCTTTAAAGTTACCATTCTTCAAAGTTACTATTGGCTGGTTTATAACAATGACATTGTGAATCATTTCTAGGAGAAGCCAGCGTGACTTAATGCTTGGAGGCTCACCTCCAGAAATACAGCTCAGTTTACATTGCACAAGGCTTCCACGATTCCAAAAACCAGCTTACACAGGATGGTGGTTATGGAAAAGCACATAAACCTATGGGAAAATGTCACTGTTCCACAAAGTGACGTTGATGTCAGGACACTATTCTGGAATACTACCCTCTCTTTCTAGAAAGGGCAAAATGCCACCTTTGGTGCACCCTGTTTTTGTAGCTCTCAGCCCCTATGCCTTTTCTCATAAAAAAGAGGGAGGAGCTGTACTACTGTGAAGTCAAGGGCCTTCATGGCTGGCATCTATAGTTTTTTGTGCGTTTTTGGGGTGGGTGGCCATGTTCTAGAAGAGTTTCTTTCTGACGTTTCACCAGCATCTCTGGCTGGCATCCTCTGAAGATGCCAACCACAGATGCTGGCGAAATGTCAGAAAGAGACTCTTCTAGAACAAGGCTACACAGCCCGAAAAACACACCAAAAAGCTGTACTACTCTTCCCAAAGGCCTCCAGGAACAGGGAATGACTGTTTAAATAGGTTGTAATTCTCCCCAATATTGTTTAGAGTCAGAAGACACCCATTTGTTAACTTTGAAAGATTTCTGATCCCTTCTAGTTTTGTTGTATTAGTTTTTGGACCTTTTTTTGGTAGCCTGTGTGGCCTCCAGAAGGTCACAAAAACAGGGGGGGGGGATGACCCTGTTCCATTGAACTTGCATAACCTTGGTGTATGTATGCGTCTCTGTGTTTATACATATGCATTTCCATAAGAGATTTTGCTAAACAATTCATTTTTCATCTTGTCCTAGCTAGTTTTTATGAAGGCCAGCTAAGAGCAGTGGG